TATTAAAAAGAAACTAAAATAGCATTATCTCAACTATATAAATATTTAAAAATTAAAGTAGCCAATAGCACTTTTATTGTCTGTCCTATGAATTCTGGTATGCATGGTTACTGTTGTTGATCATTAAATTCTTTCACTACACAATATGTTCACCATAAAGAATGAGGCAAATTCTATCACCATGTACAACGAAATATCTGAACACACTCAATTAGCTTGCTGAAGAAGTAGCTAATATTTGAAAGAGGTAAATGAATGATGTGAGACACAGGAAAAGCCCTGAATGGTAATGAGCTGACAGTGTAAAGCAGGCTTTATAATATTTAATAGTAATTGGGAATTTGTAAAGTTTTTAAAGATGTAACTTTTATGAAAAGAATATATCCTTTGGTTTGAAGATCTAGCTTTCCTTTTAAGACAGAATTCTAGGGATGCAAACTGGAGAATCATGAGTTCAAGCTTAGCCTGGGCAATTTAGACACTTAGTGGAAACCCACCTCTGAAATCAAAAACAGCGTGCCTGTAATCACAGCTATAAACAGGCGAATCACTACTAGTCTGATCTAGTAGTGAGACCCTGAACACCCTGTAAACCCTTCTCTAAAAAAATACAAAAAAGAAATCAAAAACAAAGATAGCTATAACAATTGTAATACTAGTTTCCATTGGTTTATTGAAAGGAACAGTTAGTTAATGCTTTTTTAATTATTTATTATTTTTTATTTTTTACATGCTTATGTCTGGTGAATTGAGCAACTATTTTGAGGACAATATGTAACATAACAAATGTTGTTGAGTTCCTGTCATCTTGGGTTTTGAAATTCTTCATTGTTTCTAATACTTTTTATTATTTTTTGCTCTCCTTAAATAAAAATAAAGTTAGGTATACCCCTACCCAAAATAATAACATTTACAGGATTTGGTGTGGGTTCCCTGACTTCAGTTAAGTTGTTTTCCTCTTCCCACTCCCCCAAATTAAAGTGTCAAAATCCTCAGTCAAGTCTAACAGTATATAACTTTATACTATAAGATATAGATGTGATAAAGTGATAGGTATATTTATTTGTGATTCATTTGCTATTGTTGAATCTATTAAACAAACGACTATATAAAATATTCATGAATGTATTCTCTGCTTAGAAAAGATAATTTTTCTGCATTTGAAAAAGTTATAATTAAAATACATATTTTTATTTGAAATCAAAACTTCTTAAATATTTGGGAAAGATGATATTTGTATGATGTACACCACACAACACTAAAATGTATCTGATTGAATTTAAACAAGTGAGTCTTTATACAGAACCTAAAAAGCTTGTTTTGTTGGAGCCTAAGTGGGCAGTTGAGGAAGTCTGCTTATAAATAGACTGCGATGCTGCCTGTCAGGGATCCCTCGGATACCATTTCGGCACTAGAAGGTTGGGTACTAATGCATGTTGCATTACATATAGGAAGTACGAGATCTGTGTCGATCCTCAATTAGGTGAAAAAAGTCAAAAGCTTTTACTGTATAAATATTTAAATACTTAATTATTAGATTATTTGATTAAGTCTTGTTTAGGACATGTTCTCAGGCTGCCATATGTTCAAATCAATTTCTCTGTGATAAGGATTTGGTAAAAATGAGCTGATTTTAACAAATTTATAAAACAAAGGTAATATATAATTTAAATGTATTATTATTATCAATAAATATTTTAGGAACTAATTTTGAAAACCAGATCTGATATGTTAAAAGACAATATTATGCAAATGACATACAGTGCTGTTACTAGATTTTTAAGAGAATTATATGACGTGAGACAATGCAAAGTAGTAAAAACACAAAAGCCCAGAAAATAAAACAGAACTTTGAAAATCCAACTAGAGATTATATTTTAGTTTCAAAAAGCCAAACAGTTTATTAACTGAAGAGGACTTTAAAGATCACTTTTAAGAATTTTAAGAATTCATCCATAGTTTAAAAGAGAATGATCATCCTTAGGTAAAGTAATGTGTGTATATATACATTTATCATAACTACTACTTTATGATAAGCACTGCCTACTATTGATGGAAACACATAAACATATTCATAAAAGTGAAAAAATCATGCTTATATAATAAAAGTATATCTTACAAGTAGCAATATAAGCAATTAAATTTTTTGTTAACTTTCAATCTTGTATCTATTGTACTTTTAATAATTAATCCCATGGTAAGACTGGAATAGTGTCATAAAAATAATGGCAGGTTTACAAGTTCTTAGGATAAGCACAAAGTCTACACACATATAAAAATACAGAGGACAAATGGGGCAAAGGGGAAAAGTTTGTAAATCACATCAGGAAGTAGATTTTCCTTTTTCCATTTGCCATTTGGTATTATGAAAGTTTTGGATAAATAAATGAGAGAGAGAGAGAAAGTTCCCATTGGAATAATCAATTAGAGATCTATTAATTTTAAGTTACCTAAAGATACTGACAGAGAGAGAGAGAGAGAGAGAGAGAGAGAGACAGACAGACAGAGAGACAGAGACAGAGACAGAGACAGAGACAGAGAGACAGAGAGAGCAAGAGAGACGGAGACAGACAGTCAAAGAGAGAGACAGAGAGAGAGAGAGAGAGAGAGAGAGAGAGAGAGAGAGAGAGAGAGAGCCTGGCCAAAGACTGCTTTTGTTGCTCTTTTAAGAAGAGATTCACAGTCAGTGCGTTTAAGAGTAAAGCAACATAAAAGTTCTAAGAGAGCTTATGAGGAACATATATTCTAGTGCAACAGGGACTCCACAAGTGCTCTTGTCCTTTATACAAAGCGGAGGAAATGACTGTTTTCCTTAGAGGCTAAACTCACTGACTCTGTGTTTCCTGTGAAATAGAACAGGCGGGTGCAGGTGTCTGTCTGCTGCTTCATCTGTCCCGTTCCCAGCTTCAGTGACTGCTCCCCACAGCTCCAAGGGGACACAACAAAACACATGAAGAAATCACCCTCCTCCCACTCAACGAGCGTCACAGTAACTGGCAGCTCTACACAAAGGGCTAAATGCAGAACAACTTACCCGACTTTCTTCCCCAAAAAGCTGATAAAGTTTGCAAAGAGTGGAAATCATGTACTGCTTCAGGGAAATGCAGGATGCAGCTGCCCCAGCCTGTAAATTGGACAGCACTGACATTACAATCAACTGTTACTGACAAAGCTCGCGAGAGTTGGCAGCAGCAACTTGATCTAGAAACAGCCGATCTTTACTCTGTGACATCTGTTCAGAGGCTAATGGTATAAATGCAGTAGTGATTCATTTACCAAAGCATTACTGGATCTCTATAACCACAGGCTGTCTTTTATGGATGAAGGAAAAAAGAGATACAGAAGCTTCCTGAACAGAAAACGAAGATTTGAATATCAGGATTTCTTTTGGGAGGGGGGCGCTCAGGATGCCTTCAGGGCAGGTCTGGTTTGGCTTGAGGATGAGAGGATGGAGCCACAGCATCCTGAGCCTGACTGCTTTATTTCAGCAGGCACTTAAACAGCTAATGGGCACCCCCACACACACACCGAATATCAGAACTTCCAGGGTTTTTCTATGTAAGTTTTCTTATGCTTCATCAAAATTTAAAAATGTACACATGAAATTCTAGTACTAAAATCTGTCATAATTTCAGTCTGTGAAATTGTGTAAAGTATCACTAGAGAGAAAAAAGAAAACAAAATCTATATGAGCTGTGCAACTCAAAAGCTTAGTTATTCTGGTATTAACTAAGTGAATAGCTCACCTACGTCGCTCCGGTCAAGCCCTATCTATACCTCAACAGGTTTTAAAGTCACACAAAACTCAGTTTTCAAACTGTATTTTCCAGCGGTTCCTCCATGGAGGTGTACAATAACAAGCCACAGTTTTCTGACCAAGACAAACAAAATACAAGTAAATATCTTCAAACTCTGTGGAAAAGACTGTTAGTCACCTGGCAATATGCGTTCTGTGAATAAAGTACTTATATTTTTCAGGATTCTCTTCCTTAAAATACATATTTAGGAAAATTAAGCAATGTAATAAATTCTTTCATGTTTGACTTCTCAAATCAGTTTCATCTCTACTGTCTTATAAAAACTTTTTAAATTTCTCCCCTTTGAGCCCTTTAGGCATGTATTTGTACAAAGGTTTATTTTAAGTATGAAATAGCTTGTCAAAATTTCAAACATTTGAATAAGAAAACTGGCATTTGTTATAATTCAACTTTGGGGTGGTTGCGATAACTAACAATTTACATGAATTATCTTACTTAATCTAAAATATGTTCCATATTGTATGTATACTTTATCATATGTATATTCCGACAGTAATATATTTATCAGATGTATAAGTCATATTATTTTGTTAATATTATTAAGTAAATTTTCAGATGAGGAAACAAAAGCTTATAAAAATGACTTCCTTGGACTGGGGATAAAGCTCAGTGCCTGCCTGGCGAGTGCCAGGTCCTGAGTTTAGTTCCTGGTTCACCCCCAAAATAAAAACAAAAATAAAAATGAGATACTTACTATATATCTACCACTAGTAGTTGTTGGAATCAGAATGTCAAGGTAGATTTATCTATGTCAATTCATGTCAAGTGATGAAAAAAGATACCAAAAACCTTGTATAAGTGTATCTAATATGTATTTACACTGATTCACCGGTAGCATCAACTGATTACAAAACCTGACAACTTTTCTTTTGCTGTCTATTTTTACTTCAGTGAGTGCCTTTAGCTCCTGCTCCTTTAGTTCAGCTCCTATCACGATTTCCTAGCGAGGCTTTGCCTCCCTTCGTCCCTAAAACATTTCTTCTTCCTGTGTACTTAAAATTCTTCCTCTGTGGTCCAACAGCAGCAGCTGCTTTGCTTCTGTGGTGTCATTTTTTCATACTTCCAGAGGGAAGACAGAGGTCACATGGTGAGCTTCACTCAGGGTTAGGAGGCCAGAGCCGTTCCGTCACCTTACAGACTGGCTGGCTAATGATCCTGCTGCTAAGCCTAGAATATGCAGTCTGAGTGACACTGATGAAGTACTGCTCTGGATGCAGTGTCCCCACCCTCGGTTCTCACTTGCAGACTTGGGCGCTCGTGCTCAGAGCTGCATAAGCAATGTGGTCTTGGCCTAAGATTATTTTCTGTTAGCTGGAAGTTACCTTCAACTGGAGCCTTAAGGTTTACTATAATGTACCACAGCACAGGCTGTTGTCTTGCTAAAAGCTCTCAAGAAGACTTGAAATTGTCCCATTAAGCACACATTAGACATTTGTTTTTCATAGGCATAAAGTTTTCCCAAAGTGTTCTCATCTTTTTTTTTAACAACTTTTTTTTATAAGAGCAGTCATTTTCCAAAACAGTATAGATTATACAGAAAATTATATTTTTATGTTTTACATATCACAGAGAAGAGAAAAATAATTTTTTGGTCTATTCCCTTTTAATTTTACACATATAGCTGATGTCAAATGGCTTACAATTTCTCTGGTTTTGATTTCATTGTATTATTACCATTAGTGATTGAGTAATATTATATATGTTATATGTATCTTATTTTTATTTGTAATTTATATGATGATAATAAAAATGTTAAGTAATAAGTACTATTTCTATGCATTTTTAATCTATTCATCTATTTTAAATTTAGGATCACTTTCAAAGTAATTGGTGATGTCATCTCTATTTTATTTCTGAGGAAACTTAGGAACAAAGTGTTTAAGTAACTTGCCTCTAATCATATAACTATTAGTTATCTTCTAATATTCATTAAAATCTGTAATTATAAGCCTATTTTATGTATGGATATTTGAGTGCATCTTTTGCTTATTTTTCTAGCTTAGTTCCCACTGTGAAGTAAGTAAATGGGACTAGTACAAAGTGAAATTTTGATTGTCTGGAACTCTCCACAGAATAGAATGTCACTAGCTCTTCTTGAAGGTAGGAGAATTATTCTTAATCATGATAAATTTCAACTTGCCCTAGAGCCAAGGGATTAGAAATACATTCCCAGTTGTCACAGGTATTTGAAAATAGGCTTTTTTAGCAGAGACATTAAGAAGGAAGGGGGAAATACATCTGTTTGTATACACAGAACAGCTTGGATAATTGTTCTGCTGATTTCTGCTCATTCATTAAAGTAGCAGTTAATGCTTAATTTTTTTTCTCTTTCTTAAATTTTTATAATTTCCTTGACCAATTTTGTATGCTTAAACTTGGAAATCTGCACAAGTTATTTGAAGTCAACAATATGGAATAAAACCACCATCCTTGCATTCCTTTGGTTTTATTTAGTGAAATCCTGTATTTTTTCTAACATTTTTATTTTTTACATTTTTATTCCCTTTAAAGATAAAAAGATAACCTAAAAGATTAACTTGAAGATAACATTATGCAATACAACAACCATTGTCAAATTCCCATTACTTTGTTTAATGAAATTTTGTATTGTTCCTTTTTTTTTAAACCCTTTTGTGTTCTTTAAAAAATAAAAGAATAAAAAGATGGGTCCAGTTGTTTAAATAATAAAATGCTTTGAGAATATGTTGAGAGCTTAACCATGGGGGCGTCTATGGGCAGTGCCATCAGCACTGGGTGCAATAGAATGTTTTAGAAAACAAGGGAGAGTATTGGGAAAATTGTTCTTTTGATATCAACTTACAAAACCTTTAGGTCCAGAAAAACACTTTTGGACAGAAAGAACTGAGAAAGAATGTGAAACACTAGACTTCTAATGTTAACCATTGTCAAGCAGAAGCCACTGGTCATAATGAAATAAAGCAACAAGAAGATTTTCACTGAAGTGTGGATCCAGAAAAATAAAAGTACGGAAAGAAACCTGGAAACTTGATTACACACAGTTAGAGAAACAAGATAAACAATATTATTTTTAAAACACAGAGATAGAAGGAACAAGCTTATGTATTTATAACCTAATTCAATTAATTGGTTCAAATCAACACTTGTCAAAACATCAATGTGTCTTGTCATTCTACTGTCAGAAAAACTATATACTCACAAGTCAATAAATCAGAGTGCCATTTAGAAACCAAGAATCCAAAGCGACATGTCAGATCCTTGGGTTCGATAGGTAGAGAAGGACTCTTTACAACTGACCTCTTAATTGAGATGGATTGGGAAAATTCCATCCCACTCACCAAGAGGAATGACCTGGTGCCTGGTTGTTAAGGAGATTTTCCTACCAAGTGTATGAAAAATTTTTATTCCTTTTCCTTATGCACTACTACAACTTTTATTTAAAACTATTTTGTAGATGTATCATATAAAATCTTTTGTGGTCTACTTTCATATAACGCATTTTAAGCTTTTTGTGAAATGATGTTATAAAATAATTTTCTTCAATCTCATTTTATTGTCTGAATATCATGGATTTACTAAATTAATTTAACCTACTTTAGTTGGAAAGGAAGATTGAAATTTTTACTGGGAATAGCGCTATCAACTAGACAAAATTATATGTATCTGAAACATTTTTATTGCTTTTATGATAGAGTTGTGTCAGAAATGATAAAAAAGTGTGTATTCTCTAATAGCTAAGACATATACTACCAACTACCTCATAAAGCATTAGAAATTTATACCCTTACAGTCTAAAATATGTCTTTCATATGCTCAAATGACAGTGTTACTTTTTCATTTTCATTACTTTTGACAAGAATATTACTATGTGATTAATTTGCATACTATTATGATTAACCATAGTTTAATGTGCTTGTTACTTTTCTGCAACATATCTTTTTACTTTCATATAATTTTAAATTTAAAGAAAAGTTCAATTAAGTATAAAGAACTCTTGTGTATTCTACCTAGACTGACCAAATGATAATATTTTGGCTAATTTTCAATATTGTTCTTATCTATATACTAATCTTTTTTTCTGTACTTTTTAGGGAAGGGTCTACAGGGTATTCAGTGCTTCACTACTAGACTCATAGTGATCTGCTTGTTTACAGCCTCCCAAGTGTTGGGATTACAGGTGCACACCATCAGTCCCCTATCTCAGTGTGCCCTGGGGGCAGGGCTGGCACTGCAGTCCCAGGGATCAAACCCCCAGCCCCTGTGTCTGCTTGCAGGTGGTTTAACGTTCTGAGCTATTTGGCTGGCTCTTCTATATACTTACCAAATACACATTTTTTCTATACAATCCTATACAT